GATTCAGCGGGGAAGAAAGGCCACATGGGGACGGGATGACTCCATTCTTATCCAATGGCTGCCATAGCGCTATGAAGGTTTCCTGTACCTTGGGGGTCATCACCTCTGGCAGGCAGATCGCTGAAAGGGATAATTTACACATATATTTAATAAATACTGGTCATTGATGTACTAACCCTCCAGTACACCTAAAAGATCAAGAAAATCCAGAATCACTTTTCCATTTTTTCAGATTCTATAAATGTGACAAGAATATCCATAGGATAAGATGAGTGTAGTAATGAAAGTAATGTAAAAGGAACAAATAATGAAAAAGAGAAATACAGAATCAAAATCAAGTTTAAATCATCAACAATAACAAAACTGACAAAGAATTTTAAACAGACTTCAAAACTCCATTAGTAATGATATAACAACAAACAATATCATTCCCAAACACAGTCGGGCTCACCTAAAGACACAGCTAAGTCCACAGTCAAGCTCTCTAGCACCCTGAATACAGTCAGGTTGACGTCCTGCCGTCCAGTCAGGATTCCCCGGATATCTCCTAGCAGGCGGCAGACATCTACCTCACTCGGCTTACTCTCAGAATCTGCTGATGTGTTCCTTAAGACTGTTATTCTGACCATTTCCTGAAATGTATACAAAGGATCTTTATTTCACTGTATTACGTTTAGTGTATGTGAGACAAGATTATCTTATTTCTTAAAATGTCTTTGGAATATTTTATCAGTGCCTAGAGAGAAAGAGAAAGTTTACAATCAAAAAACCCATCAAAGAATATATGGGCTACTATGAAGGCATTCTGAAAGAGAATGAAAGGAGGTAGATAAAATGAGGGAATGCATGACTACAAGATTAAGAAGAAATAACACAATTCACACAAGCATTAACCTTAATATCCATAATTATCTTTGATGGTGAGGGTAACGACTCATTGTGTTCAGATGCAGTAATTGGGAGAGTTTCTGTGGGATTCGCTGGCTTCTTTGGCAATGGACATAGCTTGTGTGGATGGTTTGTTGGAGCTGTGGAAAGGAGAACCATATTTAATTAAGCATGTCATTAAGTCATAACAGTATACTAAATATTCAGGTAAAAAAAAAAAAAAAAAAAAAAAAAAAAAAAAAAAAAGGCAGGAAGAGTGAGTGAGTTTTACCAAATGACTACAATAAAAAAAATCCCTGCATAAAAACTGGTTCAGAATAATGAGGGAAAAACTAAAGAGCAGAACAGAACTAAAATATTTACAATTAAGGGGATGATCTGTGAGAGAAAGACCCGACTGGTTGCCGGTAAAGCTGCTCTCTGTTCCCATATTAACCGAGGCCTCTGATGTGTCCAAGTTGGAGAGAGATGTGTCATTGAGGGAATTCTGCAAGGCTGCCTGCAAAAGGACAAAAAAATATGTTTACATTGTTTTTCTCTTCCTCTACACACTTGACTCTGGACATAATACATGGTAACAGATAAACATATAAAAAAAAAAATGCATTCATTAAAGTAATTATCTACACAAATTATTCATATCAAACTTAATAACAGCATAGTTATGCAAAAAGAAACCACAAACTCAAACTAAAATCTGCCCAAAACCACAGTGCATCTTGTTACAATACTTACAGCCTGAAAATCAGCAGCTTTCTGTGCCTGCCGAAGGAGGCGGTCACCATCAGCGGAGATGTCCTTGGAAAAGAGCACAGGAGTCAAGTGTGATTGGACCCATGCTATTACTTTCTCCTGACAGCTGCGACTTACAATTTTCCTGCACACATCTAATGCCTGGAAAAATGAAACATTCTGATTAGTTCTACAGGAAGCAATAGAGGAAGAACATAAGGAGGAGGAGGAGGAGGGAAAATGGAAGAAGAGGAGAAGAAAGGGAAAAGCAGGAGGAGGAGGAGGAAGAGGAGGGGAAAAGGGTGAAAAGGGAGGAAGGAGATATGGAGACACACATGTATATAAGTAACGAAAAGTAAGAACACAGAAAAATAAAACAACAAAATCATTATAGAAACAAACAACAAAAATCCTGAAAAAAGCAAATGAAGAACAACAACAAAAAATAAACACAGTAAGCAAACAAACAGTAAAAAAAACAAAAACCCACAAAAAGAACAAAACCAAGCAACAGATGCTACCTGTGGAGTCATGTCCGGAGGCATCAGGAAGGTGAGCGAAGACAAGACCTGGCCCTGGCATTCTTGGTGGGTAACCTGAGTGCACTGTGCCCGGATGTGTTGGGCAAGCTCTTGACTCAGGTCCATCACCTGTTTTTGCACTATGTCCCTTGTCCTCTCTACTGTTTGGGGGGAATTCTTCATCTGCTCATCAATTGTGGACTTTAACTGTGTGGTAAAAAGTATAGTGGGGTCATTCCGGAAGGTATCAAGGTTTGCCAGGATGTTAAAAAGTCTCTTTCACATTATAATATCTTTAGGGTTCTTCCTGTTCCTTTTTAGTACCTTAATGAATGGATTATCATCAGAATTATTACATAGTTAACATAATATACAGTAATTCTAACTTGACTATCTTTTGTATTGCATTTTAAATATATCCTTAACTTAATCCCTGTTCAAAAAATATATATGGACATCCCCTAAATTCTTTGCCTCTCTGCAAAAATTTTGATACAATTAATAACTAATGATCACCTTTTCAAGGGCTGCTTCCCTCTGCTCAGGAATTATCTTCGTTCGAATCTTCTTAATGACATTTGAAGATACGCGTTCAATAACAAACTCAGTTGTTTTCCTGACAGATGATGGGTTATTGTGGAAGAAATTATCCTCCAACTGCATCTGTAGATTCACAACACAAAAGTTTATTTTGGAATTTCCAACAATTATAAAAAAAAGTTCAGTACATATTGCACAAAAAAGAAAAAAAGAAAAAAAGAAAAAAAAAAAGAAGGAAACAAGAAAAAAGAAAGAGAGGGAGAGAGGGAGAGAGGGGGAGAGAGAGAGAGAAAGAGAGAGAGAGAGAGAGAGAGAGAGAGAGAGAGAGAGAGAGAGAGAGAGAGAGAGAGAGAGAGAGAGAGAGAGAGAGAGAGAGAGAGAGAGAGAGACACACACTACAGACTTTAAAAAGAGTGGAATGGTGGAGGGTTCAGTATTTCTTCATACACTGTCACAAAAATATACCATACCTGCAACTGCTTCTGTGTCTGGGCAGGTGAGGTTTTGTCTGAAGTAGAGAGGGGGGTGATTTTGCGGTAACTGTTGGTGCTCTTCTTGGAACTTACACCAAGCCAGAACTCACTGAGGAGATGTTTCAGCTCACAGATGAAGGGACAGCAGATGGTGACCATCTATAGGATAAAGCATTATAAGAAAAATATGAGAAAATATAACAAACACACACACACTTGTATGTACACACATGTTCATTTATATCATCCAATTAACCCTACAATCCGAATGACGTGACCATTATCTAAGAAAAAAAATTTGTGGGGTAGGTGACTTGAACAAGCCGTCATGGGAAAATCTGGCTGTGGGTCGGAATGATGAGTATTTTCCTGTCATGAGCATTTCTGCTAATCGCCAGGGTGACGGGAAAGACTCACCACGTATGCACAAAGCTCTTGGAGGGTGTTTAGACTGATTTGGCATTTAGCAGGAAGGGGCCTTTTTGTTATTTCCATTGATAAACAAGTGTAGAATATAATGTCCATGAGCCATGCCTAGAAAAGCATTGGCTCCAGGGAGGATGCTATTTCCAGGCTCAGTATCCTCTTCCTGGCAGTGCAGGATGTATTACAGAAATTTGAATATTAACCCTATCTAAATTCATGTGTACTGGCGCCATAACAAATGCTTGGTCTACAGGGTATGCCTGTACGTGTGGCGACATGCCAGAGCATGCGGATTGGGAAGTTCTACTTGATGTGGCGGACTCCCACGCCCAGTGTCTGGCTGTTGCCAGAAATCATCACAGTTTATAATGCTCAGGGGTTTCTATTACCCAGTAGTGATGGGTTTAGAAGAAGAGGAAGACGAAGAAGAAGAAAAAGAGACAAAAAATATAAAGTTACTTATTGTTATTATTATTTGCAATGAGTAATGGAATACATAGGGAGATGATATGGTGTAAAACAGTCTATTACCATCAGGATAAAGCATATCAAATGACATATGCTGAAAATGCTAATGCAGAAAAACAGAAACTAACATAGTCATGTCACTGCTCCCAAGTGTTGATTTGCGTCTAGCCTATAAACCACACAACTGGCAAAGTGTCTGCTCACATAAGCCTAATTTGCGTACTTTGGGCCACATTACGGCAGTGAAGCATCCATATTCAACACTACTTTGAGTTAAGCACTCAAAGTAGTGTTAGACATTAAAAAGAACAATAATAAAAATACCTGCTGATCCACAAAATCGGACATGTCTAGGTACACAGTCTGCTCTGCAACATTTTCATTCTCATTAGGTTTTAGAGGGGTTGTCATAGGACTCTCTAGCATGGTAACTGTCATGAACTTCGATGGGGTCTTCATTGGTGATATGGAGAGGCCTAGAGAAAAACAAGGGAAAAAAATTAATTGTATGTGATAAAATCAGAGAGAAAAGTCAGAACAATAAATATCAGAGAGAGAGAGAGAGAGAGAGAGAGAGAGAGAGAGAGAGAGAGAGAGAGAGAGAGAGAGAGAGAGAGAGATATCTTACTAAATGAATACATGTTATTTCGGTCTCTCACTCTATAACACTCACACTTTCTCTCTCATTCATCTTATCAACTAAATAAAAAACCTGCACGTTGTTTTTCTACTTTATGAATCTAAATCCACCCCTTGACCTTCCCCTCAGACATGGGTCCTCTTCCTGATGGCTTTAGAGTCATAAGGCTGGTTTTCTGCCTCTAGTTTGTGAATAAGCTGTAGTAAAAGTTTGAAAATAAATCTGGTACTGTCTAAAGAATCAAAATTGAGCTAAGACTAATTCTAAGTAAATTTGTATCAAATACGTATATTGATTCTGTATAGCATATATTAGTTTGTTTGGTCCCTTTAATGGACAAATAACATTCACAAATAACAATAGAATGTCAGGGAAAAATTTGACTGAACGGAGTATATTATAGATATTTGAATAATGCAAAAATATTTTAAAATGACACAAATATATTACTACTCCACAGAATTGTAGACTACCTAGTGAGATGACATGGAGGGGGGGGGGGGGGGGTGTTAATGTCTCTGCAAGTGCTTAGCCAGAAAGGAGTCAATCTGTAGACCTTGTGACCTAACATGTTTTCACCTTTCCTTGAATTGGTGGGAAAAACATTTTTTTTAACCTAATGCTATGAATATCATTGGTGTTATTTATATAGAGATTATAATTACTATCATGTTATTGACATTATTAACACCAATATAAGATCAAGGAAAAGGGGAAACAGGTGAGACAGGCAATAGTTGTAAATGGCTCATTGATGATACACACACACACACACACACAATTAAGTAAGAAGAGATCTCTTTTATACCAATTCATATTATTAGCCAATCCAAAAAATATATCTATATAAAGTTAACTGAAATAATACAATTTCCATTTTGTTTTGTTCTAACTTCGAACACAGAACCTACCCCTACACATGTCCTTGGAAGGTGTCTTTGCCAAAGCACTGCTCAGGCCCTTCTTGGGAGTGAACCTCTTGGAGGGGGAGACATCCATCACACCCAATCTCTCCATCTCATCCGCTAAATCCAACCCCTCCAGAGAGCTGTTATTCCGACTAGCATTGGGTATCAGCATCACTCTCAAGCAGGGTATGCAAAAACGGCAGTAGTTGTTGTTGATGACCTCAATATTCTGACTGTACTCATTGCGGTCAATATCTGCCTCGCTCACATCGGTGAAAAAGAGACCAGCAGGAAAATTGGGCAGGTCGAAGAGCCATCCGAGGAGGAGCTTCAGAAGGAGGCTGTTTGAGGGAGACAGTGTTTTCCTTCCTGACTGGGCACAGCAAGTGGTGCAACCTGAGGAGTTTTGGAGTCTGGAATGAGGAAAGAAAGAATAGGAATGGATGTGAATGAGGGAAAGAGGGAATTATTTAGTGATAATGTCTGGACAAATAATAAGAAAAATATAAGATAATATCTACTCTAATAATTATGTTATTCAAAGGATGCTTAAAAAAATGTTAAAGTAATATTATGGCTAATCCATCTGATCTGGATGACATGACCATCACGTCATGAAAAAATTTGGCTCAAGGGATGGGTGACAAGAACATGCTGTCATGGGAGTTATCATGAGTGTTTTGGCTGAAAGCTGAGGTGACAGGGAAGTGTTGCCATGAGTGCACAAACCTCTTGGGAGAGTGATTAGACTCATTTGGCAATTTTGCATTATTTCCATCAATAAATGAGTGTAGAATGTAATGTTTGTGAACCATGACTGAAAGATCACCAGCTTCATGGAGGATGCCATTTCCATGCTCAGCATTGTATTTCTTGTACTGAGACTGACGTCACAGATTGTATTACAGGAAATTGAATATTATGAAAAAAATAAAAATATGACGAATAACAAAATGTTACCTAGAAAGATGATATGAAGTCTGAGCAAAGAAAACAGTCTATTACCATCTGGATAATGCAAATCAAATGACATATATGGACATTGAAAAATAGCAAAAAAGCTAAAAACACTTGTGCATAAAGAGAGAAAGTAACATTGCAAATAGAAATACAGGGTCTTGTCACCACACCACCTACAAGCTATGCCTCTGGCAGAGCAGCTGCTCATGGAAGCCTAATGCCCAGATTTTTGGCCATGGGATTAATGTGAAGCAACCAGATCTAAGGGGTTAACTTCATATGCTGTCTCTCTCTCTCTGTCTCTCTCTGTCTGTCTGTCTGTCTGTCTGTCTGTCTCTCTCCAAAACCTAATAAAATCCAGAGTAATTCTATATAACTGCAAAATGCGATGGTCTCAAGCACAGACAATAACAGCAAAAAGGATTAAACACACTACCTCCCAATATAAAGCAATCTGAATATGGCAATGAGGGTCATGACGACAGTGAGGTAGTGCTGGGAATGGAGTGCTACGGGGTCCACCAGGCTCAGGAACTCCACCACCCATGTCACGCCAACCACCAGTCGCCCGGAGGAGGCACACTGACGCAGGGCAGCATTGATGTTAATAGGGGGATACACCTAGAAAGATGAATAGGACATTAATAGAAGTCAGTATAAAGTGATGGACATTTCTGTATACTAAATAATATGTACAAGTACCGTGCTCAATGCCATTCTACAATAACCATGATAAATATAACATGGTGACTATGCGCTACAACAAATATGTTTATTTGGTTTTACTATGATATGAACATTTCTAATGCCTATTAGACATATAAAATAAAATGATAAAAAAGAAGAAAAAAAAAAGGGGGGGGAGGGATATTACAACTAAGGTTACCCTTAGAGGATCCATTTGGAAAACAGGAACATAAGCAAATCAGTGTGTACAAAAAATGTGACAATATCATGTACTGAACATCTACCACATGTGAAAGGTTATTTGCAACTGGTTAGTGAAGGAATGAAATAAGAGTGCACTAAATGCTATAACTCGATATTCTGAAGAGGGGCTTTGATCTGAAGAGCTAACAAAACTTGTTACCTTCCTTCACTAATAAAATATATAGTAAACATATTAAAACTGTATCTAAATAAAACAAATTGTCTCTTCATGCAAATACACTAACTGGATCTAAAGAATTAAAGAAACAGGTTTATGCCCTAATGGTTGTATCTTACCTTAGCACGTAGGGATATCTGGGTTGCCATGACATTCTCGGGTAGATGCTCTGAAGTCTGGTAAGGCAAAAACTCTAAGAAACCCAAAAACTTTGCAAGGAGACGCAGGTTGAGGACAACGGAACGTGCTTCCTCCCGCACCATGTTGTCAATTGGATCTGTTGAGGCAAAACCATTGAGAGAGTGAGAGAGGGAGAGAGAGTGATATAGCTTTCAATTATATCATCAGGAAATTGTGTCAGAAAGATCTGATCAGGCAAAACCATTGAGAGAGAGAGAGAGAGAGAGAGAGAGAGAGAGAGAGAGAGAGAGAGAGAGAGAGAGAGAGAGAGAGAGTATAGAGATAAAGATAAATAAGACATGAAAAGATGATAAGACATTAATCATATAAAATCAAATAAATCCAACTTACCTCCACCTTCAGGCTCCAAGATGACGAACTCCTGATCATTGAGGCCAAGGATGCGGGAGATGAGAGCATCCTTCAGGTGCTGGTTGAAGGTGAGGTTGGAGGCAGTCAGGATGAAGTCCCTGAAGAATTCCTGAGATCCAGGGAAGGACGGAGTGGGACAAGGACCCCCAAGCCTGGAGGGTGTGACCAGACGCTCATATAACCGCTTATACTTTTCAGGCTGTTGCTTCTTCAGGAGGGTCAGAAAGCCTAAGCCTGGAATATAGTCGGGGGTTAAATTCAGAACAGAAAATGATCTCTTAAAGTTGACTTTTCAAAACGTTCTCAGAATTAAATTTTGGGTTCACATAACATCTGATTAGAGATAAGAGGTTTGCAGATGGCATGTAAAGTCCAGCAGAAAATATATATCCCTGATGGTGAACCTCAGATCTATGCCTTCAACTTCATAAAAAATAAAGATATGCAACCAATCAACAACAAAGAGCTACATATTCCTCTAGTTTCCGTTGTTCTGAACTACATTTACATTCTTACAATACATACCATTAATCAACCCATTCGCCCCATTGGGCAAGAATACATGCCATGCCCACTGTAATACAAGTTTATTTAATGTATTTACACATAGATGGCTCTACAAGTTCTTAACCCATTCGCGCCAGGCATCACGTATATATGACAGGCTCACTGTGAGTTTACTTGTTTATTTGTTTTCACACATAGATGGCTACATTTGTACTTGTACTGCCTGTCTCACCTGTTTACCCTTTTCTTTAATTTACGAAATTATTTTGCATTATCTTATTTTGCTGTTACTAAAGTTTATAACATTATAGTAATTATAATGTTTAAAATAAAAATAACCATCGATATTCATAGCACTAGTAAAAATACATTTTCCTGCCAATTCAAGTAAAGGTAAAATCTGGTAAGGCAGAGCCATCTAGTGTAGAGAAATTTCATAAAAAATGAGCACAGCATTTTCCCATTTTTTGTTCATTTTTACCTGGCGCGAATGGGTTAATCACCAAATAGCCAGTTATTAGAACTAGCTATCTTGCCTATTTACTCTTTTCTTTCACTTTAAGAAAGGGTCTTTTGTATCATTTCATTGTCTAAAATAGTTTAATGACAATTTAAAAATCACAACATGAACAACAATAATAACAGTATTGATAGAATAGTTATTAATAAGAAAAACACATTTTCCTGCCAATTCAAGGAATGGGGAAATCAGGATCGGTAACTAAGGTTCACTGATAGACTCCTTGCCAGCTGAGCACACGTGGAGCCATCTGTATGTAACAAAACCCACCAAAAACTACAGGGGACAGAATGTAAATCCGGTGCGAACGGGTTAATTACAGCAAACGACCAATTTGTATAATTCAACTTTTACAAACCTCCCATCCATACCCAAACCAAAATAAAAAAATAACATGATTACACAATAAAAGATGACTAACCCACACCTTACTCTAGCTACCTTACTAACCATCAGCATCCTCATTCGAGATGTGCTGATCATCATCGCCACGGCACATGGTGAGCAGCTGGGATTGGAAGAGCCGGGCAAAGTGGGCGAAATTGATGGGGTCTGGACGCAGGTTGAGTACCTGCTTGATCTTGGGCCCTAGTGCCTGCCCATACGACCAGCCTGACATGAGACGGTTCTCCTCCCAAATGCGGATCATCTAGGTAATTCATAAAAGGTTAAAAATAAGGGGTAACTCATCACTGACCAAAGGCTCAAGGTACTATAAATAGTATGTCAATGCAAATTCTCTATTGCTTTGTTTATCTATATCTATTTCTTATGTATAACTCTTTAACCTTCCCCCCTTCTCTCTCTATATATACACACATAAATACACATGAGTGTGTGTGTGTGTGTGTGTGTCTATATATATATATATATGTACACATATCCGCTCCTTGCAAAAGATGTACATATACATGTATATAGGTGTCCATATACGTGTATATGTGTGAATTTTCTTCTTACCTCATAAAACATGTCCCGCTGCTTGCGAAAGATGTGGAAAGCTTGATCAGTTGGAAAATTATTGCGATTATCTGTGTCTGACTGGAAAGATACACTGCCTATAGGAGACTTCGGGGCCTGGTTGAGCAAAGGTGCCGGAGGAGGCGATTCCAAAAACTCTGTTAAGCACCTTTGGAGATCTGGTGAAAATGTCTTTACCCTGGGATTTTCTGATAAAAATCTGATGGTGGCTTTATCCAACAGTTTCAGAAGTTCAACTATAGTCAGAAGCACATTGGTGGAAAAATATATACAATTGTGGATTGTACTGAGGTAGCAAGTCTCCCTTCGTTGACTGTCTGAGTCCTCTGATTTAACTACAGTCCTTATAGTTAATAGTTGCATCAAGTAGTATAACTCTACCATTATGTTGGGCGTCATATTAAACAAAATAAGCTCAGCATAAGTCTGCACTAGAATATCAATAAAACTTCTGTTTGACACTCGATCTGGAGAGCCCTCTACATAGTCCACCTTCTCTGAAGATGTACTCGGAGGTGAATCCCTACCCATGTTTTTCCCAGGGGTACCTCCATCTCCTCCTCCAACATTTGTACTGGTCTCCTGTCGCTTCATTCTCTCTTGACGCAGTAGCTCGCGTTCCTCCTCCATGCTCTTGATTCCCCCTTCTTCACTTGTCAAGAAGGGGCTGCTTGGAGACTGGTTCTGTGGTGCCCCAAAGCCGGTCTTTGAGCTCTGACTAAAAGCTATGGCTCTGACTGGCTGACGAGAAGAACTGGTGGTGATCCGTGTTGGGTTGATCCTCCGTTTGAACTGCTTGTCCTGGACAGGTGTGCTGCCTACCATTGGGAAGGCATCCTGATCACTTAAGTCTAAAACCTTTGGCACCTCGTTTTGTCGGATTAGCCTTCCACTGGAGCGGGAATTGCTATCTCTTGGCAGTGGACTTTTCTTCTTGTTCCCCCATTTCACATCCACTGTAATAAAATCACCTAAGCTATGTTTCTGCTCACTATGCTTCACTTCAGAACTGTGTCCAAACTTTCCCCAAGAGTCCGAACCATCCGAACTCTGCCTCTTCCCTCTTGGGAAGCGATCATGCGCCTGCATCCCGTGGGATTCTGACTTGGTTCCTGAGGTATGGCCATTGTGGCGTGGGGTGGAAGTGGCATTCCAACTGTATCTACTTGAGTGAAAAGTATTGGGAGTGGAGGAGTTTGAAGCAATGTTCTGATGTCGTGTGCGTGGAGGGCTTCCATGCAAAGAAACTGTTAGCGCAGAGTCAGATTCACGGAGTAATTGGTCTAAATCTGGAGTCTTAGCTTCTTCAACAGATGTTAAGGGTTTTGCCTGTAAAAGGAAGAAAAACGAAAAGAAGATATAAATAATCATAGTGTATAGATTAAAGATTTGTAACAGATATACAAATAGGGTGCAAAAATACAGGCAAGAAAAGGAGGGGGATAGGTTTACAAAAAAGTATCTCACTTTCACAGGTGTGTCAGCGAAGTGCAGTGTCTTGGCCTTGGAGGATGAGAAAGGCTGCTTCCTACCACGATTCCTGAAGCCTGGATCCTTTCCTGGTGAGACATATTTTGTGGCACGGACAGAACTTGGGGCCTTGTTGGGGGTGAAGCCTGAAGGAAGACCCACTTGTAACACCCTGCAATAATACCAACAGATCGATGAACATTGGGCCTATTAAATGTTCTAAATAAAGTGTAAATGACAGGTAATCTTGTGTTACTGTGTCCCTGTTTGCAGTATTTTGTTTCAAAATGATTTAAAAGGTCCCATACAGCACTTTTCTTTGATTTACAAAAATATTTTACATTATCTTATTTTGCTGTTACTAATGTTTACAACATTATAGTAATTATAATGTTTATAATAAAAATAACACCATCGATATTTATACCACTAATAAAAAATACATTTTTTCCGCCAATTCAAGGAAAGGTGAAATCAGGTAAGGTCTGTCTTGTATTACTATATAATAATTTACATGACAACAATCATATATTCAATAGGTGTTTATTTAACTAAATAAGATTTTCACGTATTTTGAGAGTTATGAAATCTGAGTGGGAGGTTGAAGAATGATTTTTTTTTTTTTTTTTTTTTTTTTTTGTGATGTTTCTTAGAGGAATAATTGTTTTGTTATATGTAATTCCATTTTATAGAATGGATTCAGGCCTGGAACTCTACCATAAACTGAGGACTACCTGTATTTAAGAAAAAATAATAATTAATTAGGCTAATGCTAGTTATATGGCAGAAAAAGAAGAAGAAGTCAAAAGAAAGAAAGAGAGAGAGAGAGAGAGAGAGAGAGAGAGAGAGAGAGAGAGAGAGAGAGAGAGAGAGAGAGAGAGAGAGAGAGAGAGAGAGAGAGAGAGAGAGAGAGAGAGAGAGAGGGGGGGGGGTTAAACAGTATATGGCAGTTCAAAAAGAAGGAGAAGGAGAAGAAGATGAAGAAGAAGAAAGAAAAAACAGCAATAGCATGAATAACATTTATGAATGGGAAAAGAAAGAAAGAAAGAAAGAAAGAAAGAAAGAAAAGTAACGACAAAAAAAGTAATAGTAATAAGAACATGAACTAGAAATCTGACATAAATATGACAAACTTAACCTTCACCAATAAAAGTAAAACCTACCCGCTAGACTGATCACGCAGAAAGTTCAGAAATACAGGCACAAATTCCACACGTAATGGTTGCAGGTCTTCGAAAACACCTTTCTGAAAGCAATGAAATGAGTGAATTAGAACTGAGCCTGAACAGAAGGAAAAAGACACAACAATCAACTGTCCTTGGAGATAATTGGCAAGATGAGGAACTTGGCAACTGGGTGTTAAATGATTTGATAAAAAAGCTGAAATAGAATGAATGTAGAACAAAACTTAGTAGAAATAGACACAGACAGACACACACAAATATCAATTAAAATCAGCAGAAGTAAGTGCCTAACCACAGGGGTCCAATTACTTGATCCCATAGTTTTTACAGAATACTTTATTGCCATATACTAAGAGGATCTACCTCCTAGACCCCCAACATATTTATGCATTCCCTAACTAAGGGGCAGACCCTATGTTCTAGCCATAAACACCGCCTGACCACTAGACTGAGAGCTCTGCCCCCTGAGACAAATTCCTAACCATATATTTTAGTCTACTGTCTATTGTGTGAACTCTTTGTGATCTAATCTGCATTTTTTTTACCTGGTACAGTTACAGGCTCTCATATCATACTATAATTAACAATAATGTAACTTTCTTCTACAAGATTACCTTATCAATTTTCAGTTTTCCCTAATGAAAACAACATTATAAACAAGACTCTTCTTGCTTCTTCCTTCTTCACAATGCTTGTGAAAGAATAAGGATCATGGAACTGTCTAAAATCCTGATCAAGAAAATGTGCATGCATAAAAGATTATTATATATAACTATTTGAATAACTGTTAAGCTACAGGTAGTAACACTTATGCTACTTTCCTCAGTGCTATGTTCTGTCAGACATCTCTGAGTCTTAGAGTGACAAATTCTAGCACTTTTATATTTAAACTGTGAAGTAATTGTATCTTTCTGGCCCCTATATTTGATTTTCTTTATTAATTAGTCTATTTATAATTCCTCCATTGTAGTAGCATTACATGCTTATTTATCAAAATTCCATTCTCTCTAGATCAATCTTTTTGGTGTAGGTTACACCATACAGAAAAGGAATATATAATTTTCTTTGAAACACAGCATGCATTGATCTCTTCTAGCTTAACCAATCAATACAAACTCTGGTTATAATTAGCTAACAGGCCTAATTACAACAGCCATTTTAACACTTTGGCAAAGGCCATTAAACCTCCATCACATATATTCTAGCCAGGCTTAATTGACAATAAATTGCTAAGGATATCTATATACTTCATCTTACCAGAATCTACAAGGGCAGGTTTATTGGACTGGTATAAGTTTAAAACATGACTGCATCTGTCAGACACTAAATCTCCAATAAACACATGAACCTCACCTTAAGTGCAAAAACTACTACAAAGATTGCTGTATTTCCATAGACAGTGTATACTTAATGAGCGAGTTTAGATTGCTGAATAAAGTTTCTGACGTGGAGTTGGGAATTCAATCTCTGATGAGAGTGTCTGTACTGTATGGTGACCATGATACTATTGCAGTTCCTATGGATGTATTATTCCTTTAAATATCTGAATGCAGACTAACTCATAAAGAATTGTAATCTTAAATTGTCAGCCAATATTCCTTATTCAAATCTACAGTATTATTGGATTTGACACCTAACATCAAAAATTTTAAATATGACCTTGCTATCAGATAGAACATAACATTCAAAGACATATCTTTCTAAAGCATATCTTTTGCAAACTAATAATAAAGGTAGTAGAGATGATGCAAATCTCAAAATTCCAGGTGGTCCACGATATGTACTCTATCAGTGGCAAGAAAAAATAATACAAAATTCAGGAAAGACAAAACAGAATTGAACAGATGATGTAAGTGTAGAAAATCAAATGAGCTTATGGGACTTGTACTTGGATGTAGACACAAGTAACCAGCCTTTTAGCACCGATAAGATTTGTATTAGATATTCACCTGACAGTACAAACTGGACCTAAGGGAAGTCAATTGAAATTTAAATCAGTTCTGTTATGACACTTGTGTACAAGGTGCTGCTTTGCCTTTAATATGCAAAAATATCAGTGGAAGAAGGAAAAAGAGCAACACATAATGGACAACAAAGATTTGGACAACTTGCAGACTGGTCACTGCATATTTATTGGTTAAAACAAGAAATTATCAGTATGAGATTTACCTGGCAAAAATTTTGCAGAGCAGGCAGGGGGTTAGGGGCAAAGCCCCCTATTTATATTTGCATACACCTTATTACTGAAATATTTACTACAATCCTCTGCTTTTACCCTACAGTTTTCCCTTTACTTATCATGTCCTCCCCAGCTGTCAGGGCTGGTATCATAGCTGTGCTTTGTTTGAAAGGAGATGAGTGCTAGGTTTGTTTGACACACAACTAGAGCTTTCAGGAATTCTTAGATTTCACCTGGAATTCGGATTTAGGTGTCATTTCTAAATGTACTAAATCTACTTTCAAATATACCTATTTCTGATAACTAGCTGCAGCAAAACTCCCATCTGAGTGTGACATCTGGGTCATATGGAAGACTACACTTCCCATGACCCATTTCGTGATGAAAATGATAATAATAAATTACAAAGACCTATAACTACAACAAGAGAGGGATTTACACATTATTCATGAATATGCATTCGATTAATCCACCTCCACAAAAGACATTTGCATAAATATGAAGATGAAATGTGAATGAACATACTGGAGTTCACAACGATAAAACATACAACACAGAACCAGACATTGATAAACAACAGTGACACATTGATATTTTATCCAAAGCCAATCATTTATTTTACTGAATGTTAAGAAAGTTAAGAATTTACGAGAAAACCGATACAAAAAAATAAGCAAAGAAACTTCCAATCGCCCGGAAAACGTCACCCGAATCTCGCCGTTTCTCCTTCATTAAAATTCCGAATAGTCATTAAAAAACACAAAACGCAACCCAAAACGTGATAAAACATCTCTTCATCTCACCAAGGGTGCTCCATCTAGCCACAGGATAAGGTCATGAGGGTGAATTTCCCCCTGGAGAAGGAGGTCGAGGAGAGTGGCTGCCATTTTTAAATCATTTTCAAAACATTGGAACAAGTGAAGGTCGAGATGCGCAGGCCGGGAGGGAAAGCGGGCTGGTGCTTTACTACTGCTGTTTGTGATTCAGATTCTGCTCTTAGTAAGTTAATACGTTTATTGGCTAGTTATATTTGGTAACTAATTTTAATTTATTTGTATTATGATTACTGTTATAATTTTTATAATATGTGAAGGTCGAGATGCGCAGGTAGGGAAGGAAAGCGGGCTGTTGCTTTACTACTGCTGTTTGTGATTCCTATTTTGCTCTCTGTAAGTTAATAGGTTTATTAGGTAGTTATATTTGGTGATTAATTTTAATTTATTTGTGTTACAATTACTTTGACAATTTTCATAACAACTGAACAAGTGAAGGTGGAGATGCGCAGGCCGGGAGGGAAAGCGGGCTGTTGCTTTACTGCTGCTGTTTGTGACTTATATTTTGCTCTTTGTAAGTTAACATGTTTATTGGCTAGATATTTTTGGTAATTAGTTTTAATTTGTGTTATAATTACTGTGACAATTTTCATAACAACGGAACAAGTGAAGGGTTAGATGCGCTAGTCGACAGGGAAAGTTTGTTTTTTCGTTATAGTTGATGAGATATATATATATTTTTTAAAACTCTGGAAGCTTTTCTTTATTTTGGTGATCGTTTTTATCTTACAATTGCTTTTCATGATCTACAATGAGATATTTGTTATGATGATTTCCATAACACTCGAACAAATGAAAGTCCAGCTGCGACGAGAGAAAGGGGGTGTAACTTTAATTACCCTTTGTCTTAATTTCTCTTTATCAGATCGTTGATTTTAATTGGTTTAATTATCATAAGCGGCCTTATTTTATAACCTTTCGATTGTATGGTATATACAATGATGTGTAAGTATAAAAAATCCCCTTATGCATAATTGTAAGTATATGCAAATTTCACTATATCACATCACCCTGAACTTCAGTGAGTCTTCATTATCTATTACAGTAAAATAAAAAAGCATTGACACCAAAGGATTAATTCCTACTCTTCCACCAACATTAGAGAAAGCACATCCCTTCACTTTTATACGCACCATCCCTAAAGCAAAAATGGACTGAAAGTGGTTCATATAGAAATTGAGAAAATAAGACCACCACCATCAATTAAATTTTAAATGCAATCCCTCGTAAATTGACCAGCGTTTTAAGACCAAAAAAGATGCCTTAGTGCGAATCCAGAACAAGTCACCCAAGCAAACCCAATCATGCCTCCGTTAATAATCTTGGGTGGGATTTTCCCCCCTATATTTCCAACCGGTCAATAGGCCTATCCAAACTCGATGTATTTATTCATCATCTGTTAAGTTAATATCAACCACATAACTACAAACTACAAAAATATCCCCCACCCAAAGTCACCCAAGCTGTCATGTCTCCGTTAATAATCTTGGATGGGATTTTTTTCTCCCTATTTCCAACCGGTGAATAGGCCTATCCAAACTCGATGTATTTATTCATTCATCTGTTAAGTTAATATCAACCACATAATTACAAACTACAAAAAAATCCCCCACCCACCCAAAGTCACCCAAGAAAGTCACGCCTCCGTTAATAATCTTGGATGGGATTTTTTCCCCCATATTTCGAACCGGTAAATAGGCCTATCCAAACTCGATTGTATTTATTCATTCATCTGTTAAGTTAATATCAACCACATAACAACAAACTATGAAAAAATCCCACCCACCCACCCAAAGTCGCAAACCCAAAGTCCCGCCTCCGTAATAATTCCTCGATTCAATATGGCTTCCCATAAGACATGACCTCGACACGCAAATCCTTCAGAGCGCGTGAGTAAAGCCGAGGGAGACGTTGCAAAAAAAAAGGTGTTCTTAATTTTGCGAGAGTTTAAGGTGGTTCTTTGATATATTGGTCTCTGGGGATTTTTTTTTTGGGGGGGGAGGGGAGGGGAATTATATGTTATATTTTTTTAGTATAGGGGATTTAGGGGGGGGTTGGGGTTGGGGTTGGGGGGGACTCTTAAAAAAAAAGGTTATTATTATTTTTTTGGGGGGAGGGGAGGGGTGAGGGGTGAGAGGAAGAGAAAGTTTTTTTTTTCAGGAGTTTATAAGGCATTCATTAAGATCATTAACGTTTGTTGTTATGTGGTTGATATTAACTTCATGATGAATAAATACATCCGAGTTTGTATAGGCCTATTCACCGGTCGGAAATATAGAAAAAAAATGAAAAAAAGGTCTCCAAAAGGCTTCAAGATGCACTGGCATTAACAACCCCCAGTTAATTTTAAGAGCGAGACGGAAATATAATAGTTCTTTAACACAAACTATCAGAATTTAAAGGGTGGAATGCCTTGGCTTGTTATTGTATATAGGCCTACCATTTTTTTTAACGCATATCTTTGCCTCGGAGGAATTTTCTTCTATAGGCCTATTGCGGATAATTTCACGCCCAGAGGCATTATTCTTCTTTTCCGTTATTTTTCTCTGCGTGAATTGCCTGTAAAAGACCTGTCATTCTTGGATAGTAGATAGCTTGTTGAGTAATTTTTTTTTTTTCTGGGAATGTATACATCAAAATTAATGTTGAAATTATTAATCTCCTTGGTTACGTATCAAGTCATGACCTTTTGGTGTGCGAAATTAATGTCATGTAGTTAGAATAGGGGGAAAAAAGGATTAATTGAAACCCCTTTACAATACAAAGTTATTTACTTGTAATTTTTTTTAAAATTTAGTATTGTTAGATCTTACATTTTATTTATTTGTCTGAATGTACTAATTTGCGTGTTTATTTTGTTGTAGATCTTATTTCCCAAATTTTTATGCTGAAGTCACAGATCATGTCACAATAAGAGTGTTGATATGACTTAGGCTTCATTTAATTTCGGTTTTGGTATTAAGAAGTTGGATGTCAAATTTACACGTATTATATTAACTAGGCTTGTGTATGAACTTAACTCTGTCTAAATTTAAGATAAGGGGGTGTGGCCACTTTGTAGGTCTTTTCTACAAAGTAATATGCATTTATTCAGAATGGAAAGTTGCAAAAAAATGCAGAAAATAGAAACAGTATTGCCTCTTAAAGATATCAAAATCCTATATGTCATTCTGCCGTAGTAAGGGTAATGGTAAAGATATATAAACGGGTACCTGTGTTGAGCGAAAGCAGTTGCTTGAGTGAAAGCAGACAAACCTCTCCCATATGTATTATGACATTACTGATGTTTTAAACCTTCTTGACAATGTATCATCAAATAAATTAGTAGTTTTCAAAAGGCAAATATCTTTTCCTAAATGTATTAGCCGTATTCTGCCAAGGTACGGCTAAAACTTCCAGTGATCTCTGACGAAAGAATGCAAGCTGCCAGATAGCAGATTGTGTCAAGTGGCTGCCGTTGCCTGCATGCCTTTTTTCATTGCATATTTTGGTAGGATAGAGCTCCAGCGGGTCTCATATTTCACAGTAAATTCTCAGGGAGGTCTGCAAGGTATATTGTATCAGAATGTTAATATGTGGTGGAGATTTGTTGGCCTTTTCTGAAGTCAGTGGAGATGTTAGCTGGTGCGTTCATGTATTTTAAACTTTATAATTTTTTTGTGTATTCTTTATCATCATCATCATTATCATTAATAGCTATTATTATTATTATTATTATTATTATTATTATTGTTTTGTTGTTGTTGTTATTTGATTATTATATTGTTATTTTGTCATCGTCATCGTCATCACATTGTCATCGTCATCGTCATCACATCGTCATCGTCATCGTCATCGTCATCGTCATCGTCTTCGTCTTCGTCTTCATCATCATCATCATCATCATCATCATCATCATCATCGTCATCATCATCATCATCATCATCATCATCATCTATTATTGTTATTATTATTATTATTATTATTATTATTATTATTATTATTTATCAGGCAATGATTATCATTTTTATTGCTAGCATCATTGTCATCATCATCATCAATTTTGTTATATATTTATCAATTTATTTTAGTATTTCTTGTATGTTTTTTTTTTTTTTTGTCTTGGCTTTG